TTAGAGATAAAATATTCAATTGATATATTATACCATATAACTTTATATATATATATATAATAAAATCTTGTATACAAAGTATTGAAAAAGGGAATAAATAATTCCCTGTCTCTAAAATAAATATATATTTTTGTAATCAAGGTTATGATTGAACAAAATAAAACATACAAGCAAAATTTGTACATAAAAAAATAAAATTGCACATATATGGATTATCAAACTGAAGACCATGGTCTGCAGCAAATAGGCAGAGTGGATGAGACAATCCTTGTATCAGGATTAATATACAAAAATAATCCTTTTATAATTCGTCACATTCTTGTGAGAATTATTATATTTTACACTTTGCTTTTCTACCTACCTATGCAATTAGCATATGCTATTATTTTTTTATAAACAATTATATTAATTGCATGGCATGTGTTAAATAAAACTTAATAGAGATATTATTTTAGTCTTATTCAGAGTTAATAGCCAATTGATTGCTATTTAAATATTTTACTTTCATAGACTACTATGGATGAAAAGTATGTAGAAAGCATTTGGGCTTTGTTGAAAAGTGCTATCCAAGAAATACAGAAGAAGAATAACTCTGGCCTCAGTTTTGAAGAACTTTATCGCAATGCTTACACAATGGTTCTTCACAAATATGGTGAGCGCTTGTATACAGGATTGAAAGAAGTTGTAACACATCATCTTGAAAACAAAGTGCGAGAAGATGTTCTTCGATCTCTACATAATAACTTCCTGCAAACATTAAATCTTGCTTGGAATGATCACCAAACGTCAATGGTGATGATTAGAGACATATTGATGTATATGGACAGAGTGTATGTTCAACAGAATGATGTAGACAATGTGTATAATCTTGGATTAATTATTTTTCGAGATCAGGTAATTGTCACAAATGTTTTACTTCTACTAAGATAGTTTGTAAAAAACTTAGAAATCCTAAAAACCTGTTCTAACATGATTATCTTTTGGGTGATTATGTTTTACATATTTGTGAAACTGAAATCATTATGCACATAAATCTTTAATATATCTTTGATCTTTGCATAATATGCGTAATGTTAACAAATTGTTTGTTAATTTTTTTAGGTCGTTAGATATGGATGTGTCAGAGATCATTTACGTGAGACATTATTAGGTATGGTTGCA